CGTGATTATGGTTATTTATTTACATAATTTATGTATTTCAGTTTCTGCCACCAATGATTTATTTATCAAACTGAGTTATGTAAATGTTTTGGCCTAATTAACTATCCATGGTTATTTCGTGTCTCTTGTACTCTTGGTATAATATTTCTCTCTGCCATGTGGTTACCAATTTTCAGGAAACAATGCAATTCAGAAATAGCTTTTGGAAAGTCTTAGACGTGGGGTTGTGGAATAGACACACACAACACTTTTATGATATTTTTTTCTATATAAATATCGGCCTTTTTGGTCAATAAATTTTGTAATAAAAATAGAAGTTCCGATGATTATTCTGGTACCCTCACTTAAATATTACGTCCACTCGCGTTTATTAATTTGTTTATGAATTGGCCAGAGGTAACTTCAGTTATTGGCCATCACGATGCTTAACTCTTGGATACGGGGAGTGGGTCGTGACATACACACCTTTAAAAGAGTGTGGGGTGATTTGAAAAATTGGTTAAAAGTTGGCTTTTTAACTCTCTTTTTTGGTCTTTTTTGTAAGTAAAAAATGTGAGAGATGATGTGCCCTAAACGGATTAAAAACTAAAAATTTACTTTTAACTGGCTTGTCAAAAGACTCCTATATATCATATCCAAATTATAATATTTGTGGGTTTAATTCCCACATATATCATAATTCAATCCTATATTATAAAGTAACTTATGTATTAAATAAGAAAATGCTACAGACATACAATCTATTTATTTTTTTAATTTTATTAAACTATACTTCCCCTCATATGAAGAGAGTGATCAACATGAATTGGCAATGGCATGGGGCCTCTTTATTATGTGAGTAACCGATTGGTTTAATAACGTATAAATTAATATAGATAATTTGTTTTGTATAAAATGTTTTTAAAATATGTTTTAATAAATATTTTTAAATTTACTTATTTTTAGGAAATATTTTTAAATTGTTTCAAATAATTTATGAACAAAAATAAAAATAATATTGGTGTTTTTTAACTTTTTTTTTAAATATAAAAAATGATAATTTCAAATGAAAATGATATCAAAATGAGTAAAATTTTGTTTTCTTATTTGTTATTTTATAAGGAAGGTGATAGAAGTGAAAAAAAAAAAAAAAAAACGGAGGAAAAAAAAATAGAATCGGTATTCACCAACTTAATGATATTTGTTTTTTTAATTTTTATTATTATTTTATTTTACAACTTTGTCAAACATATGCTAAATCACTTAAATTCTATTAAGTACTTGCATGGTGATAATTCCTATACAAATCTGATTTCTCTCCAATTCACCTTATGACTAGAGAGTGTTGTCAGTTGTGGTGCGCCTGATCAGGTCTGTATCGATAATTCAAATTGTTTAAAGTGTAAAATTTGTCGAGTATATTATTTCTATAAAAAATTATGTAAATTTGATATAAAAAATTACATTCATGTCACAATTTTAAAAATCATACTTGCTATTGATAGAAATGTGATTTGCTAAGTGATATATTAATATCCAATCAATATATTTATTTTTACAAGAATGATATATTTAATAAGTTCTATATATTGAATGGTTTGAATCATTAAAATGGCCCCGTTCAAGGCCGCCATAGCTCAACACCATCCTCCAGTGCAAATTAGAAAGAAGTCACACTCTTCCTATACATGGTAGGATCCACTACAATGTAAGTAAAAAGTTGTATTCCTTTTTGGAGCAAAAGCGAAAATTGATGGCCATCACTATGTTTAGTTTGAATTTTTTGAATTAAGTTTTTTAAAAATTGACTTTTTTAGTTTTTATGTTTTTTTATTTTTAGTGAATATTTTTTAAATTTTAAATATTTTTTTTTTATTTTTTTAGATGCACCTTACTTAGATGTATCTAAAAAGTAAAAAATTTGTGAAAAAATATTTTAAAAAATTAATAAATACATAAAAATACAAAAAATGTACTGAATTCTTGTATTTTTTTTTTGTATTTTTGGTATTTAGTGAATTTTTAAAAGATTTTTTTTATAATTTTTTTACTTTTTAGGTGTATTTATGTTAGGTGTGTCTAAAAAGTAAAAAAATTGCTTAAAATATTAAAAAAATTCAGTAAAAATAAAAAAATACGAAAAATAAGAAAGTAGAATTTTCTGAAAAATGTTTTGGAAAACTGAAACCTAAGTGTCTATAAATAAATGAGTAAATACAAGGATGAAAAAATATACCTTCCAAGACTTTTAGTAAAAGCTCTTTCCATCGAGAAGGTGCAATAAAGGCTTATCAAATTCACACATACTCACGTAATGTATGAATCTTGAAGAGATTTGATTAACATGTATAAGTGTGTAGGCACTTCACAAACTATTTCCTATCAAAAAATGTCAAGCGTGGAAGATAAAATTTAAACTGTTTATTAACCACATCAGTATGCAGCTGAACACACCGCTTGGTGATGGTGTGGATCAATTAGCATAAGCTAGTGTCCAAGCTCAATTTTAGGTATGTTGCAAAGCCTAAGCAAAGGGTGGATCAAGTTAATGGACAATTCACCCTATGTGAAAATAGTCATATCTAGGCATGTTATATCCCAAATGAGGGACATGATCCCACTTTCAACATAACAATATGGGAAAGTGGCACAAATCTCTCAACAATGTCTAGTAAAGCTCACTTATAAATTATATACAAACATCACAACAGTAAAACACAATAGCACACTCAATACTACATTACTCATTTTTTTTTGCTATCCATCTTTGATCCCCTACTGACTTAAGTATTGAAAAGTCCTCTCGACTAACCACACTAGCTGGAGAAATTGATTTCTAAGTCCTTTGCGTACAAGTTTAAAGAATAGTTGTATAATTCAAATTCGATGTCGGTGTCATTCTTCTAGGATTGTAAGTTTTTTCCCAGAGAAGTTTTAGTACTTACAAATCCCCAACTAACAATAATGTTAGAAAAATAATAATAAATAACAAGTAAAAATGAAACTCAATTCAAAAAATTAAAAATTTTCTTAGTTTATGGCCTACTTTAGGAATTGATTTTTTTAGTGACTTTTTTGACTTTTTCCAACAACAAAAATAATAGAGAAAAGAATTGACTTTTTGTAGCGATATTTTTGACTAAAATGAGCACTTCCAAAAATAGGCCTTGTTTAAAAAGCGAGAATTTTCTTAGTTAGTGTTTAAAAAAAAACTGTGAAATTTCTCATTGTTTTACAATTCTCAATTATTGAGAATTTTTATGAAAATTATGAAATTTCTTGATTTTTTTAAAAACTAAGAAATTTATCATTTCTTAAACAATTTTAATATTGAATATATATCTTATTTGATAGATCACCTCAAATAAATTTTAAACATATAATTTTTCTAAAAAAACAAATGTATGGATTAAAAAAATCAATTCACATTCGTCCACCATTTTGGCAGATGCAGATTGAGCAGGTCATGTGGGTTGACGGATGAATGCGATCGATTTTGCAGTTGGACTTTACAAAGTTTGAACATTTTTTTGAATAATAATTCATAATTTTTACAATCTCCAATAACTAGTATTCTAAAAAAATATGTATTATTTGCTTATAATAGACCATGGCACCGCACACATATATTTTTAAGATATTATTTTCTACTTTCACAAAATATATATTTTATTATTTCTACTCTATGTTGTTATTTGTTAGCAGTTTTTTTTTTCTTTTCTTTTTTTAACTTTATCTACCTGCAGATCGGGTTTATGTGGGTGTGAGATGATTGATCCGCCATCCAAATTGTATCTGCAAATTTTGAAATATTTTATTCGCATCCGTTCGTCAAAAAATATGCATCCACCTAAAATCGATTAGATTGAGTCGATTCAATCGTATTGGGCAAATTAAACAGATCTATTATCATCCCTAGTTATTGCAGTAATTGAATGGTGCATGAAACTTATTGAGATGAAAAATACTTTGTATTTACCGGTTCTCTCACCAAATTCCTCCTTCCTCCCTTTAAAAAATAAAATAAAATAAATTATCACGTTCATGGACTTCATAATTAGACCTCCTTTCCCAGATAAATTTGCTCCATTATCTAATTATATTTTCTTCTCTCATTTTTTTTTTTTATTTTGGCAAATTTCATTTTACTCCTTCTAGTTTGAACCATGTGTTATTTACTCCTCTAATACTTAAAAATAACCACATAATTCCCTTATGCTTTGTGAACTGAAGTGCATTGTTAAACTCGTTAATGATTTAATAAAAAAAGACTATCTCTCATTTTTTTTTTTTTTATTTTGGCAAATTTCATTTTACTCCTTCTAGTTTGAACCATGTGTTATTTACTCCTCTAATACTTAAAAATAACCACATAATTCCCTTATGCTTTGTGAACTGAAGTGCATTGTTAAACTCGTTAATGATTTAATAAAAAAAGACTAAAATACTTCTATATTTTCATCATTTATTTGAAAGACAAAGTGTATTTTAATTCCTGTGCTTTATTTTATGTGCAATTTACCCCCCTTGAATTTTGAAAATAAGCGAATAAGTCTCTTATGTCTATCACATATTTCACACTTGCTATTAAATTGCACAGAATATCTAACGGTACATTTTAATCTACAAAATACTTTGGTTTCATGCAATTATTTCTAAACGTTAGGGGATAAACCACACATGGTCCAAACCTAAAGTAAAGTTTGCCTTTTTTTTTAATCACCTCTTTTTTTTTTCTCTCTTTTTTGTAACATTTTGGGTGAATTTTGACAAATGCCAAATCATTTTCTTACTTGCCATTAAATGAAAACCAAGCCCACATATTATAGAACCAAAATAACAAAATAATAAAATAAATAGATAAATAAAAGGGACTTGGGGTTAGAAAAAATATAAATAAAAATCACCACTTTTACTCCCAAAAAAAAAATAAAAATAAAATAAATTCAATAAGGTTAATATAGTACAATCAAGGACAAAGGAAGGAGTTGTACAATGATTTTGACCTAAATACCCATCTCTCTCTTCATACTCTGCCTGTATTCCCATCTCAACCCACCCAACACCCTCTTCTGCCCCTCTCTATTTCTCTTTCCTCCCCTTTCTTGCCCTTCCCTCTTTCCGATTTTCCCACAAAACAAGCACTCTCTGTCTCTCTCCAACCAACTTACCCGCCAGTTCTCACTCTCTTCTTTTCTTTTTTTTCTTCTTTTCTGTTTCAAATTGTCGGTTTGCTCCCATTGAATCACCCTCCGACAACGCACACACACCAGTTCGAGCCCCAATCCTTGTCCTTGGTTCATATCTGCACCTGATCGTCCTTTGTTTTCCCACTTTCTTCACCTTTTGCTCCAAAACCCAACTCTTAATCATCATCTTAGGGTTTTGAAGAACTCGCCTTTTTTTGGGTTTCTCGATTTCAGGTAACCTTTTGATCTGTTGCGATTGATTCTGCGTTTTTTCTGATGGGTTTTGTGTGAATGTTAATGGGTTTGTTTTTTCTTGCATTTTGCTGCTTCGCATCTGATGGTGCAGTTCAGAAGAATCCATGTATGGATGGCACATTTGGTGGGGCTTTGGTTTCGATTCTTTGCGGATTTGAGAAGCCGAAAAGTAATCAGAGCAGCTGAAGCTGGTTTTGTTTGGTTTGGTATGGTCTTCTTGATCTTCATTTTGTGTTCAGTGATACTTCTCTGTTTGGTTTCATTTTCAGAATCTATATAGAGTTTGGTGAAAATAAACACTTAAAAAGATTTTTTGAATTTTCAAGAACTGTTTTTGCATAAAAAGAAGAAAACAATATGAAAATGGTAAGTGTTTTTGAATTTTTCATTTTTTTTCTCCAAATTAGTACTTGGTTCTGAAACAAACCAAACAGAGTTATATGTTTTGTATTTTTATTTTATTTTATTTTTAAATTTTTGGCATGAAACAAAATAGAATTTTTTTTTTCTTTTCTTTTTTTGCTTGTGGTATTGAAGGCAGGCCTGATTGGGAAGAGGCAGTGTTTCTTGCCAACCATTGATTGATTGTTTATTCGTGGAATTTGATAATTCAAGAAACCAAATAATTGGATTGTCCAATTTGGTACATTTTGACTTCGATTGCTATTACAGTTTTTGCTTCTTATGTCAATGAAGGGTAGTTGTAAGTTTTCAATTAAAGGTACCTGTTATTCAAGAAAGGTGTGTTCGGGTATAGTTAGAAAGGTGGGATTTTTGAACTGTCAACTGTTGGGGGCTGAGGAGTAATTATTGTTGATTATTGTTTCTGCTTCTTCAATGGCTAACCATGACTTGATACTCGGGAAAAATCACAATTTAGCTCTTGGGCAGAACCAGCAATTAGTGATAGGCCATAACCGCAACCCAGTTCTTGGCCAGAACCATGACTTGGAATTGGGACAGACCCACCAGCATGATGTGACTCTGGGACAGACCCATGACCATGAATTGGGTTTGGGACATGCTCATGAACATGAGATGGGTTTAGGAAAGACTGATGACCACGGAGGGGATGATGATCATGGTTATGAACATGAGAATGAATTAGCTATGGACCAGAAGCCCAAAAATGACCGCCATGAATTGGCTCTTTCTGAACAGAACCAAGAGTTAGCTATAGCTGAGGCTGTTACTGAGAACCAAGAACTTGATGACAATTTGGAATTAGCTGTAGACAAGAACCACGAAATGGGGATTGAACCTGCCGAGGAGATGAATGTTCAGGAAACCGAGCTTGTAGTCACTCCTGTTATTCAGCAACGTACGCTTGCTGTAGCGGCTAATTATGAGCTCCATGTTGGACAAGAATTCCCAGATGTCAAGAGCTGTCGAAGAGGTTTGAGGGACACAGCTATTGCCCTTCACTTCGAAATGCAGACCATAAAATCCGATAAGACTCGTTTTACTGCAAGATGTGCCACTGAGGGATGCCCATGGCGCATACATGCAGCAAAACTTCCTGGTGTACCGACTTTTACGATCAGAACCATCCACGAGGCTCATACATGTGGAGGTATTGCTCATCTTGGCCATCAACAAGCCTCAGTTCAGTGGGTTGCAAACTCTGTGGAGCAACGCCTCAAGGAAAACCCTAATTGCAAGCCAAAGGAGATACTGGAAGAGATTCACCGTGTTCATGGTATCACTTTGTCTTACAAGCAAGCGTGGCGGGGCAAGGAGCGGATTATGGCTGCCATGCGTGGATCCTTTGAAGAAGGGTATCGCCTCCTGCCACAGTACTGTGAACAAGTCAAAAAGACAAATCTGGGAAGCATTGCATCTGTTTATGGGAATCCAACAGATAATTGCTTTCAGCGTCTCTTTATTTCATTTCAAGCTTCGATTTATGGGTTTTTGAATGGTTGTAGGCCCCTCCTCGGGCTTGATAGGACATTCTTGAAAAGCAAGTACCTTGGTACTTTACTTTTAGCTACTGGATTTGATGGGGATGGTTCTCTGTTTCCTTTGGCATTTGGTGTTGTTGATGAGGAAAATAATGATAACTGGATGTGGTTTCTCTCTGAACTTCATAACCTGCTTGAGGTCAATACGGAGAACATGCCAAGGCTTACGATTTTGTCAGATAGGCAAAAGGGCATTGTAGATGGAGTGGAAGCGAATTTCCCAACCGCATTTCATGGATTTTGCATGCGTCATTTGAGTGATAGCTTTCGCAAAGAGTTTAATAATACAATGCTTGTTAACCTTTTCTGGGAAGCTGCTCATTCTCTCACAGTAATTGAATTTGAAGCTAAAGTTCTTGAGATTGAGGAGATGTCACCAGATGCTGCATATTGGATTAGGCGAGTTCCGCCCCGCTTGTGGGCAACAGCTTATTTTGAGGGAACACGATTCGGGCATCTGACAGCTAACATAGTTGAATCATTAAATTCTTGGCTTCCAGAAGCCTCTGGGCTACCGATCATTCAGATGATGGAATGTATTAGAAGGCAGCTTATGACTTGGTTCAATGAACGCAGAGAAATGAGTATGCAATGGACATCCATTCTTGTGCCTGCTGCTGAGAGGTGTGTTGCAGAGGCCGTCGAGCGTGCACGCACATACCAAGTTCTTCGCGCAAATGAAGCTGAATTCGAAGTTATATCTCATGAAGGAACAAATATTGTTGATATTCGAAATCGTTGCTGTCTCTGTCGGGGTTGGCAGCTGTACGGTTTGCCCTGTGCACATGCTGTAGCGGCACTGATTTCTTGCAGACAGAATGTACATAGATTTACTGAGATCTGTTTCACTATTGCGACATATCGCAAGACATATTCCCAAACAATACATCCAATTCCCGATAAAACTTTGTGGAATGAGTTATCAGAGGGAGATCCAAATGCAAGCAAAGCCGATGAGGTTGTTATTAATCCACCTAAATCGCTCAGACTGCCTGGACGGCTAAGGAAGAAGCGAGTGCGGGCGGAGGATCGTGGCCGCGTGAAGCGAGTCGTGCATTGTAGCCGTTGCAACCAGACGGGCCATTTTAGAACCACTTGTGCTGCACCCATTTAATGTTATGGGCCGTGGCGGATAATTGTTTCTCAGCTATAGTAATTCAGGTAAAACCCTTATCCTGTGCAAAGAATTTTCTTAGTTGTGTTGATTATTTATGGAGTTCCATTAATTAGATTTTCAACTTTTAGTGCTCTAGGTCAATTGGCATTAGGTTAGTTAAGTTAGTTAAGTTCACGATCAGCTATCCTATGTGTGGCTCACTTCAATAATACATTGTTGTGTAGGTTTGAACTCATTGTTTATCTTGCAGATTCTATTTAGTGATTTGTCGGAGTTGTAGACATTTTTGAATCTTTGCTTTTCCTTTATAACGGCTCTTCTGCTTCTTCTTCTTCTTCTTCTTCTTCTTCTTCTTCTTTTATTTTATTTTATTTTTTAAATTCAACTTATTTTGGCTTTTCTAAGGCTTGGCTCAAAATTATTAAAGTATTTTGGGGTTGTAAGAAAAAAAACGGTAGAACCGAACCGATCATCCGAGACGAATTTTGTTTTTCGGTCACTTCATAAACCCCGTTTGTTTTGAGGTGTAATGGATGGGAGGAGATTAAGATGGAGGTGGGATTTTTTAGTATTGTGTTTGTTTGTAGAGTTGGGAAAGGGATTAGGATGGAGGAAGGGATATAGATGAAGGTTGGAAAGGGGATTGAGATAGAGGAGGTGGAGGTGGTATTAAAAAATATTGAGGGAATTAAAATTTTTTTTATCTTTTTATGTTTTATATATTGGGAACTTTTTTAAAAAATATTAATGTTTAATTTTTTATATTTTTTTATTTATTTTATTATTTTATATAAAAATAATTTAACAATTACTACACTAACAACTATCATTAAAACAAACACAATTTTATTTAATCTCCTTACTATCAATCTCCTTACTAATAATTTCCTCACCATAAATTCTCTTTATTCTATCACTGAAAATAAACGTATAATCTATTTTGGTTTTGAAAAAATCTACAGAGATAAACGACTGAATGGACTAAATTATTATATTTAAATATTTTTATTATTTTGATTCTTTTATTAGAAGATAAGTGTGCAATAAAAGTTAGGGAGAGAGAGACACATTTATGGAGCCACTTTTGTCTTATCTCTTCATTTATATTCGATGTGAACTGTACACGTTTTTATAAAGCCTTTTAAAACCTCCCGGAAATGCTTCGTTGACATTAAATTTAAGGATAAATTACAAACACACCCGTTGAGATTTATTTAAATTATAAATTATTTTCTGTAATTTTAAAAATTATATTGTCTCTTAAAGTTTTTAATTTCATAACAAATAGGTCTTTTTATTAATAAATTATCAGTTTAATTAACAGTTTTTAATAATGTTAAAATTTTATTTCAATTAATAATTCAGATAATTTTGTTTTTGTATATATGAACAGTTAGAAATTTTATTTTTTTAATTAATTCTGTTAAATAAAAAATTCTAAAAAGGATGTATTTATAATTTTTTAAATCACATGGGACAATTCGTATTTTAAATAAATTTCAGGAGGTGTATTTGTAATTTATTCTAAATTTAAAAATAATAAAATCAAACCTCAATATTGTCGGTTTTGGTTCCTTAAATTTTATCTAAACCTCAACCAAATCGAACCAATTAATACCCCTTATTTCCTTAGGATGGCTACTTTGTGCTTTGAAATTGCATGAGCAACATGGTTTAGGTCTTGCTCTCTCGATAAATATCTCAAGAAATGGAACGTACTTCCTGTATTACCATTGTTAGGATAGTTTTGAAGGAAAATTATTAGGATAGTTTCCGAGCCTTCCACTTTTTTTTTTTTTTTTGGTTATGATGTCAATCAATGTCTGTTCTTCAGCAGGCTGAAGTTATGATGCACTAATATAAAATGCTCCAATTAAATTTATTTTGAATATGACTCACACCAATGTTTTGAAAATCAAACGGGACGGGCTGGTTCGACCAGTTAAACCATTGACCGGTCCATGGTTTGGTCTGGATATATCCTCTAACCCGGTCCCTCTTGAAAACCGATGGAAACCGTGATTAAACCGCTAAACCGGTCAATCCGATTCGGGTTGAAGTGAGCCGGACCAATTTGTTATATTTGATCCAATATTGAAAAAGTTGATGCTAAAAGGATTTGAACCCAACACCTTAAGCTCCAAAACATGAATTTTCACTCTGTCACTATAATTCCTTGTGAATATATAGAAAATATATAATATTAATTATATTCAAACTAATTTTCCTCAAACACATGTATAATTAATATTTTTACAAGTAATATTAATATAAAAACATATATAAACATATATGTTTGATGAATATATATATTAAATTATAAAAATATCTTTAATGAATGTATTTTTTTTATTTTTAAATCATAAAAATATTTATAAAATAATTATGACATCATGGTTCGATTCCGATTTAACCAGACAGTTAAATTAGTGACCTGTTCATCCAATCTCTTTTTCGATTCACTCACCTGTCCGATTTTTAAAACATTGACTCACACTACAAATTTGAATCTCTTATCATACACTTCATTATGGAAATGCTTTTTCAGAATACATAGGGGGTTTTTTTTTTTTTTTTGGCACAAAACAAAATTAATCATCAAGGCTTTGAAGAATTTACAAATCATGGGCATATGAATTCCCCATAGTTCAAATGTGATCTGTAAATTTCCATGACATTACATGACTTAAACGAATGAGGATGTCTGTCCATCAGCTTTGATCTGTAAATTTCCATGACACGTACATAATCAGAGGGAAGAGAGTAAAAGGAGAAGGTAAATTCATAACATGTTTGTATGTTTTTGTTTGTTTGTTTGTTTGTTTTTTTTTAAATAATCACACACATGAAGAAGAAGAAGGAGGAGGAGGAGGAGGAGGAGGAGGAGGTAAACAGGCATGAGTCCCACAAAACAGGATAAAACTACCTCAGAAACTGATTGTCAATGAAAAATCTAAAATATTAAATTGCTTGATCTTATGGTTAACCCTAATACATGCAATTAGCCTTAATATCGGTCTGAATGAATCTGATACGCTTAGTACAATGTTACAAAAAGTGCTAAATCTTTTTTCATCAAACCAAATTGGAAATTAATGACACATATAGGGTGGTCTTAATAACTCTGAGATGGAATAGAACTACCCCTTAATAACCATAGTTGGCACCATAGACCGAGCCATACCCTCCAGCTTGCCCTGCATGACCAGCATTGGAAGGTGGAGATGCATACACAGAACCATGAGCGGCATAAGAGTTATAGCCTTGGTCAGTCGGCCCACCCGTCTGGCTCTGCATTGGGGCTGCAGCTTCGGCCATGAAATTCTGCAACACAAAAATGTAATCTCAACAGATCATCCATTAAAAATAAGAAAAGAACAGAAAAATGAGGATAGTTTAATTTTGCAGCAGCACGTGTGGTCACTTTCCAAGCTCAATCCCACCAAGGGGAGTTTCTTACATAATCATATTTATAAATATATCTTGTACATATATATAAATATATATATGACCTCAAGGCATTCAAAATGCAGGGAAGGCTACTTAACCTTCATGGGGAAAATTGCTATCTTCCTGTATAAACTAAAAAAAATGATCTTAACCAGTCACTTGTAAGGGTAATTAGGTACTTTAGACTAAAAAGAATAATCCCTCCCCAATCTCACTGATATCTTCACCTCCTGCCCCCGAGTAAAATAATTGAATTTCATTCAACAAGTCATCAATTCCATGCATTTCGGGTTCTTGTACCTTCAAAAATGCCATCTATTTACACGGGTGAATGGAACAAGCAAATAAAAATAAGAGAAACTAAAAAGAAATAATGAAATGCCAAATCTTGAAGTTTAAGGAAAATGATAATACTTTGCTACACCAACTTCATCCTGACTCCAATGATAATAAGCAATGAAATTAAGCAACAAAACTGCAACTATAATATATAGCCAAGAGAAATGCAAATATGGATAAATTCATTCACAAGACATGGGTAAGAAAGATTTGCCTGAATCAACTGCTGAGCCGTTTGAACTTGGGAAGCAGTTCCATTAATTTCGACTGTCATTTCGCCAGGAACACCCCTTGTCTCCTGTATGGTCACAGTTGCCCCACTAACACGTCTAATGTAGCTTATACTTGCACCAGCTGTACCAATCACAGCATCAGCATAAGCTAGTGGAATTTGCATTTGCTGAGTGACCTGCGAATTTCACGAAACTCCATAGTCTCAGAAATTAAAATTTTTACCCCCACTCTAATTCTTAGGCCTTTTTTTTCTAATAAAAAAATATTAGTGAGAGCACATCATGAGACAGGTATGCCAGCCCAACTGTCCATAAAAAAAGCAATAAAATAAAATGAGGTTTGTGTTACTGAAAATTGAGAAAGAACGTGAACGTCAAACAAAATATGTGACGCATATTTGCAAAGAATAATTACTTGACAGCTACACATCAAGACCTGTCAAGTTTTATCAAATTCCAGAGACAAGCAGGGCAATGCCATTTGTCAGTTTGATGACTCTCAGAAAACCAGCCTTCCACGATTTCAACCCAACTAGTTACACAATTTCAGACACGCATTCACCAGTGCTACAACTTTGTTGACTATAGCATATTTGATGTGGCCGCATGCCAAAACTTTGCTTCATTTCTGATATGTAGCTCAGAATGCTATATCAATGGTGGAGTGGCGCGGTGCGGCCATCTACCAGCCTCCATGGGTCTGCACTAGGTTGAAGTGGGCAACTCCAAGGGCACTTGGGGGCATTCTAGGCACCTTCAAGGGGTGTTTAGAGATTCCATGGGGATTGGTAGCTCCATGGATGGTGCTGAGATGGTGAATGCCTGTGTTGCAGCTTTCCTTGGACACGCACCCGCTATGCCCACCACATCCTACCATTTCGAGGTGTGTTCCTAGGTTGATTGGGCTATTGAGGCACCGCTATTTAGCCTTGTGTGCCTACTCATGGGCATTGGTTTGGGTTTGACCATGCTTGTGGGGTCCCATGGCTTGAGGCATGCAGCATGGAAGCAATGTCGTGCTTCTGGGCTATAAGTTGATGCATTAAGCCTTGCTATGTGTTGGGCCCCTTGTGCTTCACATGTGGGATGGCACAGTGCACTTGTAGGATATGGCCTATGACATTGCCTTGCTCAAGCTACACGTCGGTGCAACACTATGGACACACAATAGCCTATGTTGGATGATGGCAATCATGTGTGCACAAGGCTTACGCTGTGCTCGAGTGAACCTAGGTATCATAAGGGTGTGTGCATTACTCGTGAGACATGACTATTCAAGATGCTTGTCAAAGACCCAATATGCAATGTTAGCTTCTAGAGCCTTTGCTAGCTTGGGTTGTATGACATTAGTATATTTATCAATGGTGCAGTGCTGTGACATGCTTGGGGTGTTCAGTCATGGGCAACACTTATGGTAGGCATTCTTATGCACAGTTGTGTAAGGTTTGGTGTATTTGGTGACATAAACCTTAATTGAGCGAGCCCGTAGTTTGTCATGGCCTTGGTGTTGTGGAGTGATTGTTGCCATGTTTTTAGTACCTTGGGACATGAGGTCTTGGGTGGCATTCATTATGCAGGGCTTCTTTTGTGGGGGTGGTTCTCATTGGAAATCTTGTGGGCTTGCTATTGTCATGACAGGTGATGATCCTCAACACTTGGATGGCAAAAAGTTAAGGTGGACTTGTGGTCAAGTGGCTTCATGGGACAAAGTTCCGCGGTACCAAAGAGTCACCCATGACAACCAGGAAATGGGAGAGTTTTCAAGCATACAAAATTCAGCTAGGGGCTTGGGTTCCACTAGGTCTGTAAGATTCAATATGAAAAACTATGAACTGGCCTTGCCTTGGAAAACCCATGCACTCCCTCCAATTCATCCAAGATGGTCAACTGGTTTATGAGTCAGAATGTCAAATAATAATTGGTCAACCCATCCAGGTTCAAATTCATGAAAAAGCACAATGCCAATATTCGAGGTCCAGCTTAAAGCCTCCAGTTTTATTTATCTAGATTACTGAGATTAGAAGATCAAAAATCAAAATAAGAAAAAAGAGAAGAAAAAAAATTCAAAAACAACCTGTGTAATCACTGATGGCGCTGGCTGAGAATTGGATGAGGCATGCACATTCATTGGAGCTTCTCTTCCATAGGCAGATATACCCTGATGAGGCTGTTTTTCTAGTGGAGGTTGAATGTCAGCCGGTGGATAATAATTGTCAAGTTGCCTAGGAGGTGGCATGTAATGAGGATTAGCTCCATAACCAGGTCCTCCACCTGCATTTGGAGGAAAAGCTTGGGGCGGTGGACCCCAGGATTGGGGAGGAGCCATGTGTTGTTCCATCTGAGGATTTGGCATTTGCATCTGAAGAAAAGTTACAATGCATTAGAAAAATATAACCTCTCTCTCTCGGTCAATTAATTGAATTGATGATTGAAAACAACACTCACTTGCATTTCAAACATCGGAATTACACTGCGATCAACCAAAAATTTCCTCAGGTGAGTAGCAATTAATTCAATTGCTTTGTGTACCCCTACAGGCTCCCCTACTACCTCAACAATCCTATCATCTTGAAGAGCAAAAATGGGTAGGTCTTCTGCAGTAATTCATTACAACAATTAGAAAAACTTGATGTCAGATGAATAATGACCAAAAATTACAATGAGTTGACATGATGACAATGCAAAACTAGAGAAAATTGAAATTAACAAATGTAAAAACTTGTCAAAAATCAAATATACAACTGGTGAAGTCAAGAATGTATAGAATGAGAAATTCTGTTAAAACACTTCTGGAAGTCAGGTTGTGATAGGATTGATTAATTTGAAAGGACGGAATTTTGATTCAATTTCACTAATACTTAAGGTAATATGGGAGTTGGACTGCAACAGATGAGGACTGCTGCAGCAGGAAGAGAGAGTCAACAATCTTTGTGCAAATACTATTCAAAAATGTCAATGTTATAGTATTCCAAATCTCAGGTGAAATCTTCAAAAGATCAATCCAAACACAACCAATAATCTATCTACTTCCAGCTCAAGCCAATATCTGACAGAATCCTCAGAAACATTAAACTGAAAAAAGAAAGTTTTTCTATGAGCAAAAACTAGAAATACAGTTTGACAGAGTGGAAACAATCATGGTAATAGAGATGTAATAAAGAAAACCTGTCCCAAGTACTCTAACAATACAACTAGATGCTTCTTGAATAGACTTGACAGTTGCTCCTTGCTTTCCAATTATGCTTCCTGCTTGAGCAGCTGCCAATAGCAACCTAGTTGAAACCTTGGCTCCCAGACCCGGTGGAGCATGAGAAGAATCACTCTCCAGCCCGTCAACGATGCGTTTATGAACCCTCAGTAGGCCATCTACAGCTGGAGGAAGAGAAGCATCAGGCTCCTCCTTGGCAGACACCATAACCTTTCCAAAAGAACAAAAAACAAAATCATCAATCCCTGTGCAAATAATTATACTAGGTTTGATTCATACTAAAAACAGCAAGGAATAGCACTATAGCAGCATAAATTCTTTATTTTAAAAAAATGGACATATCTTTGGAGTTTGAAGAAAAGATTGGCCAAAATCATCTGCAACACCATGGTGTACAATTTTATATCTCAGGGAAGAATGACTAACCAAAATTAAAATGAGAGAGAGAGAGAGAGAGAGAGAGAGAGAGTGCATACATTCAGAAATTCACAGGTAATAGCTGAGTATCTAATTTTTTATACCAAGAACATAGTTAGAAAAAAGGCAAAAAGTCAATTATCAAGCTGTCGATATAAAAACAAAAAACAAAAAGAAGAAAAAAAGGTGTCTTCCAAACAAATTTAAACTGTATAGATTTAGGTCTTCCATGAGACACGTGAAATACTCTCTACAGACAAGAACACAGTTCAACACAAGACATTGAAAAGACATAAAAACATGAAAATTCAGATTGTAAAGGTGTATGATAACCAAATCGAATCTGAATAGGCATGGCAGCAAAAGAAGGTTTCAAATTATAGGTTCTTTAAAGGCCTGCTCAAGCATGTTATCACCAAATTGCCTAGAAAACTTCCTTAAACATCAGGAAGGAGAATAGGAGAGATAAAAAGGAGGAGACAAAACAATCATGATTAAATCACTTATTCTCTTCTTTTTTATGTTATCGCAAATTACTTTTTTTAATAATCTCTACTAGTCTACTAGATTTTGTATATTTTAAATTTTTTTTTTTCCACATTAGCAAACATATTCCCTAACTAGGCCTTTAAACCTTTTGTATACAAGCTTCTAATATTCATTGACCTCAACATGTTCAATTATTTAATTATTGACAACGTATTAACACTTGATATGTTTTGTTTTTGTTTTCCATTAATTTTTCCTCATTTCCAAAAAGTTTCTGTTTCCAAGATAACCGAAACGAAATTTTGATCCTTGCTCCAAGGCGAAGTGATGCAGGTAGTGTCACTTTTGCAATGTCTTATATGTTACCTTACCAGCAGTCAGCAAGTCTTTTTCTTCCAAAACATTTATGCTAAAAGTATTACAAAATTCTAAATTTAACCCAAGGATTCAGCTTCAAAATCCCAATCTGGTACAAAACTCACCCATCATGATATTATGATGTGAATTCATTTTATGACTCTTAACCCTATTAATCAAACAAAGAATAATCATTCAAGCATTGTCCTAGATCCACTCTAGAATATAACTCATGAATTTGAAGCCCTAGATCCCATGAGATCAACAATTGAACAATAATTAAGAAAATTGCCCAATAATAAATTCAATTAAGTCTATCTCAATGGGGGCTTTTCTTTTCTTTTTCTTTTTCTTTTTATGGGATAATAATATTTCTTAACACCACAGAGAGTGTCAAAAAAGAAAAGCACACTTGAGAAATCCAAAAGGCTCAACTCCAAGGACTAAATGAAGCTATAAGGTTAGCCCCAATGTTTCTTGGATTGATATTGACTATAACAAACTTGGTTTAAGTTATTTTATGTTAAAACTTCTTATAAATTTCACCATTTGAAGTACCTAAATCCATTTTCAAAAGTAATACCTTAAATTTTAATGAAAGTTTGAATTTATATAACTGAAAAGATGCTGGTTGATGTTCATTTGAATTTATATAACACAAAACATGACAAAAAACTTTCAAAGCTACAACCAAATTCTCCTCCTTTTTTCAAGAGTAAAGATAATTATATTAATGAGGATCCAAGGGGGTCCAACCACATACAAAAAAAGAAGTAAAATAACTACATATCAAAAACCTACTCAAAGGCCTCTACAAAATCCAAAAAATGGTTCAAAGATGGAGTGATCACCTCCAAAATCCAACTATACAATAAAGCCAAAGATATACTCTTTAATCTAAAAAAATACTCTTCTCCACCATCCAATGTTCTTCTATTTCTTTTTTCCCCCACACCAACCACATTAAAGCCTAGAGAACCAATGCCTTCCTCCTATTCCCATGCTCATTCGCAATTACTACCACAAGAAAGTCGTACCACGCAACTCCCTAACCATTAACAGGAACACATCTCCCTAGCCATCTCGCAATGATTAATATGGCATTCTCCATAAATAAGTCAATAAATAACATATAGATAAGAAAGTTGAACTTGGTGACCCATAATACTTGGTTGCAAGTTCCATGGACCCCTTTTTATCGGCAAGATCCATGACTCATATTACAACCCATGGATACAAACTACAACCCACCCGCACATCCGAAATATTACCTAAATAGCAAATACCCTTCCTTACTAAACCTAACAAACAAAAATAATATCATACTAGAAGCCTAATAAGCTACAGAAATATAAAATTATAAAATAAAAACCAATTTAACTCAGAACTTCATTAGATGATGCCCTAAATATGCTCCATTTAAAAGTCCAGCTTTAACAAATTTCTTGTTAACATGCTCTGCTAAGAGATTTATTATCTTACACAGTTTTTTTCTTTCTTTTATTCTACTTTTTGGGTTTGAAATTCAATTCAACTACATGACTAACATGACATAGTCATGTAGACTTCTGCTTTTTCAACTTTACATGATAAATTTAGGTTCCAAAGATTATTTTCAAAGACCAAAGTATAAAGGCCATCGCATTTGAAATCTCACAGGAAGATTGAGATTGAAAGATTAGTGATTAATTTTTTTAGTGAAATTTATATCAGATGCCTTTCCAGCCTATTCCATTCTCAGCTGGAACTGTTTAGAGAGGGCTTCAGCATTAACAATAATCTCAAGCATTTTCAACGGGGTCTGACAATATGCGGCAAAACATCAATCATCCGGATTCTGAATTTACCAGATAGAACTTGGAGCTTCTTGGTACACAAGTTCATATAAGATATGTCCGTGTTTATTCAGATAAACTTTTCAGCAGTTGTATACTCAATGCTGATCCCTGCAATCCGGATCTTTGATTCTTCATGTTTGAAAACATATTGATGATTGATTTGTTGCCTTAATTTTTTTGCTGACAGAACCTGCACAGATTCATCTTTGTTATTGCAATAAAAGGAGCTGCTTCAAATTATAATTGTTGTTTGTGTTATGTATCCTTTTGCTCCTTTTCCATATAAGTTTTTTAGGATGAGCATAATCCTAATATGAAATTTGATATATGATGTTTTAACAACTTTACCATTATTGATTTCTCTCCTAAGTTAGCTATTACAATCAGCTGCACGTATTTTCCTTCATAAAACAGCAGAGTTAGAAAGTGGAAAATTATGGCAATACAAGGACATGTATATGCCACAAAGAAATTTTCTCCCTTTTGCGTTTACATGAAAATGGATCATCGTACAATGCATCTATTCAAATTACAATATTCCTAGAATTTCAGGACAAATGGAATTCTAAATGCGTCAATATATCCATAACCAATTATATTAGTGGCTGGATGACAACCATCTTCTGTTGTTCACCAAACATCCATAAACTGATTAAATAACTTTTATTAATTTTATAAAATTTTATTTATGGTTTGTAACCTGATTAACTAAAATTCATAATTCTCACTGGTACCGAACAAATGTGGGTGACATCACATCTTGCATGGCATACCAATGTAGAAATTTGGATGTCTACTTTAACGACAACATACTTTTTTAACTTCATAATAAGCTATTTACAATAGTTGCACGATTACTTTTTTTCAGTTCAACAAAATTTCTCATATTTCATGAGAAAGTGCTCAGATAGTTTTCAGAATTATTAAATCACCACATAATAGATTGTTTCTGAACAATAGTTACTAAACACTACCTTCAGCAGAAATTGATGCAAAAGAGTTCTGACAAAGTGAAGTTGCGGAAACCTTCATAGCTTACCATATTGCTTCAAAATGTAAGTTAAGGGAAACTAACAAAGTGACTTTAATACTAGATAAGATAGCAACTAACATTTACAAAGGGAACATCACTAGAGTTTAAGCCAGAAAATCAGTAAGAATTAATTAGTTCTACCCTATCAGGGTGTACGAAAAATTTCCCTGGAAAAATAAACTGAACCAAAAAAAGAAGATACAAGCTTACAGCTCTTTCAGCAGTTCCTGGAGGACCATCAAGAATCTTAATGCGAGCTCTTGTCTCTTCACACATTTTCTTTATGTACTCTCCTTTGCGCCCAATGATACTACCAACCTTTTGCACAGGAACCAACATTCGAAATACACTCTCTCCTGGCCACCCAGGCCACCTTTTTTCACCGCCTCCAATGGCCAAATCATCTTCATGTCCTTGTTTTTGTTCAGGTTGTGAGTTCTCAGGCATTCCATCCATATCATGTTCACCAAAACTTTGATCAAGTTCAGCCATAAGCTTCATGGAAAAAAAGAAGACAATTTTGGCTCAATAACACTAATAATACGCACATTGCTACATAAATGTTCACATACACAGCATGTCAAGTTTGGCTCAATAACACAAGGAACCAGATTAGCAAAACGAAGTTCAAGCTTCTATTTCGCAAAAACTTTAAATCTAAGAACTCAAGCAAATAGCAATTCATTTCTCTCCTATAAGAAAAGAAGAATTGGAAAAAATAAAAATTAAGAAAAAAAAAAAATTTTGGGTTCAAACAATAATTGAATATAAGACCTAACAATCATAAAACCAAAAACCCATCAAAGAAAATAAAAAGTTAAACCGTTCAATCAATACAAAAAGAACATGTTGACAGCTAGCTAAACTACGAAGACCCAATCCCAAAGCAGCACACAACTAAACTCCACCAAGACTCAATCCCAACATAGTAATTCCTAAAACCATAGAACACTGTTAATAAAGAACAAGATTAACATTACATTATGTTTGGCTCAATCACATAAGGAACAAGAATAACATTAAGATGTTCAAGCTTCTATTTTCACAATAACTTTCTCATCCTAACAATTTTAACTAAGCCCATTCCAAGAGAACTGACCGGTGAACTTCTTTATTGCAATCACGAGGGAAAGAACTTGAAAGTACTATTCACACATAGATAACCAATAATGGAATTGAAGACTTTAATTCTCATAAAACTAAAAACCCATCAAAGAAATAAAAAAAAAAAATTAACCATTTGAATCAACTACAAAAGTACATTTTAAATTGACAGCCAAACAACACAGACACAACCCCAAAGCACACAACACAACTAAACTCCCCAGTACTCAATCCCAACAACGTAATTTCTAAAAAAACAGAGAACCCTGTTAATAAAAAAAAAGAAACTATTTGATGGGCCAACTAAAAAGAAGACATAATGGATAAAGAACAGAGAAGCACAGTAACAAAATAAAACCCTAAAAGGATGTAAAAGCGTAGTATGTATGAGATGCGTGTACTTACATCCGTTGTGAAGAAAACTAGAGAGAGAGAGAGAGCTAACAATGGCGAATTGGAGGCAGACAAAAATCTTTGGAGTGGAAATGAAAATACGATTTAGGTTTTTCGGAGGATTGAGAAGTGTTTTAGCGGACGAATGACGAGCTAGCATCTCCAACAAGTGTAAATTGCATTCACACCCCCAATGAGGTTTATATTTAATTGTATAAAGTTACCCTTACATTTTTGAAAATTACATTTTCTTCCAATCAGTTTGTAATCTCATATATTTTATTCCTCTGTTTGTCTGTTTTCACTTAGGCTTATTTTGGAAAATAATTATTTTAATTGATATTTTTAAAATAATTAAATTTTTTAACTTTTTAATTATTTTATCTTATTGCCAAAATAAGCCCATGGTTATTTTAAAAATTAAATTTTTTAATTGATATTTTTTAAATAATTAAAATTTTTAATTTTTTTATTATTTTATCTTACTGCTAAAACAAGCCCATGAGTGCATGACTTACAGGACTCGGGATGACATTTTAAGTCGATAAAATTGGATTTGACAATTTTTATAAGCCAATTATTTGGTGTTTGATTATTATTCATTATGTTTTTCTTAGTTACGATGGATTGTGATTTAATTATAACATTTATAATACACATTTTTTTTGGGAATGTATATCTAAAATGACCCTTAATTTTCATTATATACATATTTACATAATAATATATATTTATTGTTAAAACAGCCTTTATTCTTTAAAATGATAAATAATTTATAAGTAAATTATTATTTATTTTTTTTTAAAGAAAAAGAACTCTTAACTTGCTGTATATAAAAATAAAAAAACACACCAAAATTATTTATTTAACAACATTATTTTATATTTTTTGTAATATAAATATATTTAATTTATTCAATTAAGAAAAATTTATCTATAAATTCCATCTTGAGGAATGATGATCCGATTAATCTCAAAAGTTTTCTTATAGACCAATTAGTCTTATTGATTTTGAAAAGGTAAGTTTAGGGTGTCTCTATTTACACACCATCTTTCATCTCTAGGTATACCATTAATTGATTTAATTTTTATTACAATATTAATCTTATGTAAAATGACCACAAATACCTTTTGTAAAATTACCATAAAGGACACTAATGAATACAATACACATCAAATATCTCAAACGTTACTTACGTTTCTTCTCTTTCAAGAATCCAAAAACCCTGAGATAAAAACCAAAAATCCTTAAAGAAACAACCAAAAATATACATCACCTTAACCTCTATCCTGACCCTGACCTCAGCCTCGAACTTGGCCACGAGCAGGATTTGTTAATGCACGATGTCGTCTCTTTGGGGCAATGGGTGGAATACGTAAAGGGTCATCTATTTTTTAAAATGAAACAGAAAACAATGAAGGATAAGTACGTTCAGAAGTACAGAGTCGGACTATTCTATTTTGTTCGACAGTCAAATTTCAAACATATTGAACTTGTTCGACGGACTAAGTCCGAATAGTTCACTTAAGTTCGACACTAAAATGTCGAACATATTGAATTTGTTCAACAGAAACACTCCAGACAAAAAGTTAATGTTCGACAGATCAGTGTTGAATGGTTCACAAAATCAAACTTTCATATACAATGCCACTGGCTCGCAAAATCAAACATTCATATACAATGCTCACAGCAATAGGAAAATGTACATAAAACCCTCAAATCTAAGCAAAATGAAAATTCTCACCTACTGTATCTCCAATGTGGAATTGTTTCCACCGGCGTCTTTGATGAAACAGAGAATGGAAGAGAATGGGTCTTCACCACTGGCATCTTTGATGAAACAGAGAATGGAGAGGGAGATGGAAGATCGTGGGTGGGGTATGTGAGTGAGTAAGGGTAAAGACGAAAGATGTGGATAAGGCGTGTAAGGGAAAAGATGAAAGATTGTGGTGTATATTGAGCAAATTTTGCATTTATTAAATTACTTAAGGTGTGCCTTGAGTAGTGGTGTACCTTGAGATAAAAGGTAGTGTGTAAATAGAGTCACCCGTAAGTTTAATATATTATATGAAAATTGAATTTATGATTATATCCTGATTTCTATTATGGTTCTTTTTTCTTTTTCTTTTTTCTTTTTTCTTTTCTTTTGTGCTAAAAATGTAAATACATAACGTATGAGAATCAAATTTGAGATTAATTTTTACATAAGAATCTTTTTTATCTGGAATGATTTGAAATGTAAGATTGTTCAAACATTTCAAAAAGAGTACAAAAATGACTTAAAATATGAGATTTTTCAAATATTCCAAAAAGATGTGAGATTTTCAAATAGTTCAAAATTAGTACAAAATTTTTTTAGTAAGTTTTGAGTAAATGTATAATTTCAATATGTAACACTCTAATATAACATTCAAACGTAATACTCCAAAAAAATTCCTTAGTATAACACTCCAATATAATACCAAAAAAAAAATGTCATAATATACTTTTCTCAAAGGTAATATTCCAATATAACATTAAAAAAAAATGTGAAATTCTTCAAACCATTCCAAAAGGATGTGGGATTCTTCAAAACATTCCAAAAGGAGGACGAAAATTCCTTAGTGAGTTTTTTGGTAAATGTATAATTTCAAACTATGTGTATTACGTTTAAAACAATGTACACTAAAGTAGTTTTTAGTGTTTTTATGTGTGTTACATTATAGTGTTATATTTGAGATTACATTAATTGGAGTGTTACGTTTGGAAAAAGTATACTAAAAAACTTTTTGTATGTTATATTGGAGTGTTACGTTTGAAAAAAAGTTCAAAGTGTTACATTGTTACGTTTGAAAAAAATATACTAAGGAATTTTTTAATACATTACATTGGAGTGTTACATTATTGGAGTATTACATTCTTATTCGTAATGTGGGATTGGTTCTAAAATGAGAGAAAATCCAAAATCTCTACAGTGCGGACTGCCCAAATGTGTAATTTCACATTTGGATAAACTCACTTTTATTCTTCAAAAACTAAACCCAAAGTGTAAGTAACTACCCTATTGTGTAATTTATATTTTAATGGGACCTTTGGGTTCATAAGAAAAAAATAAGGATTAAACAATTCACAATATTACATTTTTGAATTTATTGTTGTTTCACCCTTTAATTAATGGGTTAAATGGCCAGGTTCAGGATTATGTATTTTTTCTTAGGAGGATTTAAGATTAAATTTAGGCCCAATGGGCTAGACCAGGCTTGGGTTGGTACACATTTATGTTATTACATAAAAACCCAGTTTGACAATGGTTTTTTTTGGTTAAAATAATCAATAAAGATAAATATATTAAAATAATCAATAAGACAAAATGTTACATTTAAACTATAATCATTTCACTTTTTATCTCACAACTATCAAATGAATTATAAAGAATAATTCATCCAACTTTCCAAACAAACTTTTTTAGTCAAGCTAAAATAACTAAAAAATCAAAAAGTCAAGTAGGTATGCCAAACAAAGCAAGTCTCTTTATCTAAGTTCACCATAGTGATATACCCTAAACAACAACCCTTTTCACCCTAATCGATCTCCTCTCTTTCCACTACTACCTTTAATTCATCATTACTTTTCTACACCGATTTCACTATTAAAACATGATCACATTAAAGCCTTGTTTATCTCTTTCCCCCTCCCTATTAAATCTTTGTTGTTGTAGGTGCTACTAAATGGGGTTGCAAATGAACAGAGTTGTTCGTGAACAAGCTCGAGCTCAGCTCGATAAGAGCTCGTTTGAACTCGGTTCGTTAAATTTTTTTTGCATTCGAGCTCGAGCTCGAGCTCGAACTCGTTAAATTTTTAATAAACAAGCCCAAACATTCTAGAGCTCGGCTCGTAAGCTCGACTCGTTAGCTAACTTGTTTAATATTTATTATTTATATATTACATAATATAAAAATCTGTATAAAAAATAAGATAAATATGTTATTTATATATTTAAAAAATATAAATGTAAATAATAGTTAGCTATAGATAGTACATTTATATAATAGTGGTAGTAGATATTATTATTTTGGTAAAATATTGAATATTTTTTTTTAGAATGTTTATATATATGTTATATATATAATTATATAATCAAAATTTTAATTGTAACTTTACTCTCATATGCAAGTATGAATTTATAAATTTTTTGGCTTGTGAACAAGCTCGAACTCGAGTCAAGCCTAAGCCAACTTGGCTTGAGCTCGGTTCGTTAAATTTTTATTGAGCTCGAGCTCGAGTTCGAGTTTGTTAAAATCTTAATAAACAAGCCCAAACATATTAAAGCTCGGCTTGGCTCGTTTGCAGTCCTACTACTACATCATGCTCACTACCAACATACTGCCTCAATAGCTAAAAGCTAGCTTTTAACTTTTAATCCATTTTGGGTCACATCAAAAAATTCTATTTCCACACACTTAATTACCTCTGTGCACATCTTCTCTCAGTACACACACTTATTAATTTGATTATTAATTAATTTTTTCAATCCACACATTGGATGTTACAATTATACCATTCACTCATAATCATTGTACACACACCACTCAACTCTTTTTTCCACACACTTGTTGAGTGACCCTACTTCCAGATTTGTAGACCCACATGAAGACCATTCAAGACCATATTGTGAAGTGAAGACAAAGTCCTTCATTGAAGACCTTCATTGAAGACCCTATTGAACCTTCATTAAAAACACCATTGAAAACTCTCCAAATATTGTTGAAGATGAGACATCTTTCTATTTTGTTATTTTATTTATCATTTCCAGATCTCTGTGTACTTCATTGCCATAAAACCCTTGTTTTTATTTTTTAAAATTTTTTTTAAAATTTTTAATTTTTAATTTTTTATGTTTTTCTGTTTGGGGATTTCAGCACTAGTTTTCCAAAATTATACATTTAATTCGAAACTTAACTTTTCGAATAAAAGTGATTAGTTCAAAAAATTTGTTCCCAAAAAATTTTTAAAAACTTTTGATAGTTGATGTCCGAATATAATGAAATAATTCGGCACTGGTTGTCTGATTGAAAACTGCAAAAGGAAAAAAAAAACAAAAAACAAAAAAAGTTATGTACAAAAAACTAACATTTTCGTCCCTAATAGAGTATAAATCTAGAGATTAAAGCAATATAAGAGTTGTTAGGA